AACAATGTTTAATCCAGTGCCTAAAGAAAAGTCAAGCTTTTCTTTTTAACAATGTTTAATCCAGTGCCTAAAGAAAAGTCAAGCTTTTCTTTTTAACAATGTTTAATCTAGTGCCTAAAGAAAAGTCAACCCCAGATGCTCTGCTAACTGTAGCATTTTCTCTTATCCATGGCCACCAAGTGCAGGCCAGATTTGCTTGGCTGCTCGAGGCAGGACAGTGTGGGAGTTTGGAGCAATCCACCCCGATTCTTAGAAGGGGGCTCTGAGCCACCTCCCCTGAGAGTCATCTCCAGGGTCAGAAGCATATCAGTCATGAGCCCAGCCATTTACCGTTTTAGTTCAGGCCATGCTGTGCTGTTGGAAGGTGCAAGATCGGAGCCTCCAAAGCAGAGGGCTCTCTGTGCCCAGTCCCTGTGGTCTCTTCATCCCTCACCTTGAACAGGTGGAGGCCAGCCTCTCCCGACTGTCATCCCTATTGGCAGGTTACCCCAAAGGCCACCCTGAAGCAGGGAGCTTTGAGGCTGACCTGAAGCACTTAAAGGAGAAGGTGTCCGCGGGAGCCGATTTCATCATCACACAGCTTTTCTTTGAGGCTGACACATTCTTCCGCTTTGTGAAGGCATGCACCGACATGGGTATCACTTGCCCCATCGTCCCCGGGATCTTTCCCATCCAGGTGAGGGGCCCAGCAGGGCCCATAAGCTCCCTCCACCCCATTCCCACCGCATCGTCCTCGCATAGGCTGGGGGCTCTGGGTGGAGTGCTGAGTTCACTGAGTTCTTCCCAGATCCCCTTTCAGGTCCAGAACTTGCACAGCGTTGCTTGGCCACCCCATTTTGGTTACCTCTAATTTTCCCCCCAAAACCCAGCAACAGTGTCTATTGAGGGGTTTGTTGTACTTTGGCCGACAGGCATCACCAAAAGGGATTCTCATTCTCTTTACAAATCCTGGTTAAGCCAGTGTTTCCCAGACGTGGCGGTCATCAGAACCACTTGATAAGCTTTTCTAAAAAATGGATCTCCAGGCCCCACCCCTGGAAGTTCTGACTCAGTAAATCTGAGGGAGGCCCTGGGAGTTTGTGTTTTGCCTCTTGAGCTTGGCAGGCGGTTCTGATGATCAGTGCAGCATGGGGACAACTGGGTGAGATGACACCATATTATCAATAGACGCATCTAGTGCTAAAAGGATGGCTCAGCCCAAGGCTAGAATGCTTAGGGCAGCTGCTCTACTCTGTAAAAAGTGGAAAGGCTGGGCATAGTGGCACGTGCCTGTAGTCCCAGCCACTTGAGAAGCTGAGGCAGGAGGATGGCTTGAACCCTGGCATTTGAGAACAGCGAGACCCATCTCTAAAAACAGAAAAAAAAGGGCAGAAAACAGCAGGTCAAGCTCAGGTGTGCTCCTGGCATATGACCAGATTTTCCTGGCTCCCTCTGCCTGACACTGCGGTTGGTGCGGAGGACGGAAGGGGATGGGAGACGGGCTGGCCGACGGCTGCCACAGCCCCTCGTGTTTTGGACAGGGCTACCACTCCCTTCGGCAGCTTGTGAAGCTGTCCAAGCTAGAGGTGCCACAGGAGATCAAGGACGTGATTGAGCCAATCAAAGACAATGATGCTGCCATCCGCAACTATGGCATCGAGCTGGCTGTGAGCCTGTGCCACGAGCTTCTGGCCAGTGGCTTGGTGCCAGGCCTCCACTTCTACACCCTCAACCGCGAGATGGCTACCACAGAGGTCCTGAAGCGCCTGGGGATGTGGACTGAGGACCCCAGGTGAGGGCAGTGGCCCAGCGATCCCCAGAGGAGGGTCCAAGAGCAGTCCCGGCTGCAGCGCTGGCTCCTCACGGTGGTACAGACGTATGTCTGTGTCATGGCTAGCTGGGCACACCGAGGGCTCCAGTCTCAGAGGGCATCAGATGGAAGAACCCAGCCTCAGTGGTGCTCCCCTGCTTCCGGCCCCCTCTAGCCAGTCCCTCGTCTCAGTTCTCTGTCCCCATCCTCACCCAGGCGTCCCCTGCCCTGGGCTCTCAGCGCCCACCCCAAGCGCCGAGAAGAAGATGTACGTCCCATCTTCTGGGCCTCCAGACCAAAGAGTTACATCTACCGTACCCAGGAGTGGGACGAGTTCCCCAACGGCCGCTGGTGAGGGGCTGCAGACCTTCCTTGCAAATACATCTTCATTCTTGGGAGGAGGAGGGCAGAAGTTGTTTGCATGCTTGTGGTTGACCTGGGAGGAGTCAGGACAGGATTTACAGGAATGGCCTCCTGGGCCTGTGGTGGCACTGCCCTCTGTCAGGAGTGTGCCCTGACCTCTGGGCACCCCTCTGCCAGGGGCAATTCCTCTTCCCCTGCCTTTGGGGAGCTGAAGGACTACTACCTCTTCTACCTGAAGAGCAAGTCCCCCAGGGAGTTGCTGCTGAAGATGTGGGGGGAGGAGCTGACCAGTGAAGAAAGTGTCTTTGAAGTCTTTGTTCTCTACCTCTCGGGAGAGCCAAACCGGAATGGTCACAAAGTGAGTCACGCTGGGCTGGGGTCCCTGGTTCATCCCCTGCCCATGGCCTGACCCCAGCTGCAGGCCAGGCTGCGGGGCTGTGACTTTCCCACCCTGTGCCCTCCTCTCCATGCTGTGGACATGGCACCTTGGCAAAGGGAGAAGGGTGAGTTGGGAAGCCTCCACCTGGAAGGGCTTAGGGAGGCAAAGACAGGCTGGGTCTTTGTTGTGGGCCGTAAGAGGGACTTGGGGTGCCAAACCTGATGGTCGCCCCAGGCAGCTCACCGTCTCTCCCAGGTGACTTGCTTGCCCTGGAACGATGAGCCCCTGGCAGCCGAGACCAGCCTGCTGAAGGAGGAGCTGCTGCGGGTGAACCGCCAGGGCATTCTCACCATCAACTCACAGCCCAACATCAACGGGAAGCCGTCCTCTGACACCGTCGTGGGCTGGGGCCCCAGCGGGGGCTATGTCTTCCAGAAGGTGTGGTAGGGAGGCACAGGGTGCCCCCCTCTCTTGACAGGCACCCACGGGTTCCCCAGAGCTTAGGGTAGAGCAACCTGCCTCTCCTGGGCTCTTAATTTTGAGTGAGCATGGATCAGAGCGGATGGGAGCTCATGCTTTAAGTCAGATAGACCTGGCTGGCCACGGAGCCCGGCCAGCACTTTGGGAGGCTGAGGCAGGTGGATCACTTGAGCCCAGGAGTTCGAGACCAGCCTGGGCAACATGGTGAAACCCCTTCTCTACAAAAAATACAAAAATGACCCAGGCATAGTGGTGCACACCTGTAGTCCCAGGTACTTGGGGGGCTGAGGTGAGAGGATCGCTTGAGCCCGAGAGGTTGAGGCTCCAGTAAGCCATATTTGTGCCACTGAACTCCAGCCTGGCCCACAAAGTGAGACCCTGTCTCAAAAAAAAAAAAAAGATCAGCTGGACTTGGCAGCTCATGCCTGTGATCCCAGCACTTTGGGAGGCCGAGGTGGGCAGATCACAAGGTCAGGAGTTTGAGACCAGCCTGACCAACATGGTGAACCCCCGTCTCTACTAAAAATACAAAAATTAGCTGGGTGTAGTGGCGGGTGCCTGTAGTTGCAGCTACTCGGGAGGCTGAGGCAGGAGAATCGCGTGAACCCGGGAGGCAGAGCTTGCAGTGAGCTGAGATCATGCCACTGCACTCCAACCTGGGCAACCAAGCGAGACTCCATCTCAGAAAAAAAAAAAAAAGTAGAAATCAGACCTATGGAGGCAGGTCAGTTGACCTCTCTGAGCCTGGTTTTCTCATCTGTAAAATGGGATGTAGCTTGTGTTCTGGGCATGAAACCTAACAAAGCATGTAACGTGCTTGGCACATGGGAAGAGCAGGAAGTACTCCCTGAAAGGCAGCAGCTGTTACTATCCTGAGTTGACATCTTTCTCCCAGGGCTGCTGGAGTTAACATTATGTTCTGAACCAGGCCCACGGTCCCTGGAGCAGAAAGACCTGAGTTTAAGGACCAGTTCTGTTTACTTTCAGAGTAGCCAACATGTTCAACTTCGCTGAACCCACTTTCCTCATGTGGGGATCACTGTGCCCAGCCTCCAGTATTATGAGCATTCTAGCAAATGAGTTTGAGTAAACCCAGCTTAATCCCTGATAGGCACTGGTCCTAGAGGAGATGGCATGTCATTGTCACCTTGCAGTGACTAGGGAGGATGGAATGTGTGGGGCCTCTCTCTCCTGGCTCAGCTTGTCAAACCAGTTGCCACTGTTCAGAAATGACTTCTTCATGGAGTCTTCCCTGACTGATTGGGAGAGGGGTGGCCAATAGCCCTCAAACCTGTCCAGACTGAGAAACTCACCTCCCCACCCCCCTCACCCTTTGCTTATGGATGTGCCAACGCCACAGTTCATTATTCTGCCCACATGGCCGCCACTAGTTCTGATACCTTAGGTGTCGGTGAAGGGGCGTCTGGCAGGGCTGGGGTTGGTGACAGGCATCTGTCTCTCCCACAGGCCTACTTAGAGTTCTTCACTTCCCGTGAGACAGCGGAAGCGCTTCTGCAAGTGCTGAAGAAGTACGAGCTCCGGGTTAATTACCACCTTGTCAATGTGAAGGTAGGCCAGGCCCCGGGGTTCCCAGAGCACCAGGCCCTTCGTTTGGCAAACACCCAGCACCTAACCTGCGCTAGGCATTGTGCAAGACAGAGAGATACAGGCAGAACTGGGCCCCTGCTCTTAAGGAGCTCCCAGCCTAGTGAGGGAGGCAAATCAATGTGTGACCACCAGCCAGTGTAAGTGGGAAAATCAAGTTCAGGAGAGGATGCTGTCAGATCCAGAGGAGGGATGTCTCACCTGGGAGGCCAGGGAAGGCTTCTCAGAGGGGTGGTGTGGGAATCACCAAGGACAAAGAGGAGTTGGCCAACAGGAGAGAAGGGTATTCCTGGGACAGGACAGAGGACAGGCAGAGGCAGTGAGCCGCACCATCTGGGGAAACCAGGAACACAAGCAGGAGGAGGTGGGAGTGTTAAGCAGGGGCCAGGCCCACAGAGGGCATGGTTGTCCTGCTTAATTTGAGTTTTCCCTAAATGCAAGGGGAGCCTTTCTCCAGCAGTGGAGTAGCTTGGTTCCTGCTTTATTTGAATCAAATAATGGTGGATCGTCGTACAGATGATAGGGACTGGGGAAGGCTAGAGCCGGTGAGGCCAGCAGAGAGACCCCTGGAGTGACCCAAGCCAAACACAGTCCTGGAGGTGGGCTAGACAAGAGGGAATGGATCAGAGAGTGAGCAGGGGGTGCTCAGGGAGGAGGGGGAAGTGGCCAGGACGCCTCTAGGTTTGGGCTTGTGTGGAGAGAGATGTCATTCATAGATGCAGGTGGAGGCGGCCAGGAGTGGAGGCACAGGGAGAGGGGATTGGAGGTGCAGGGAGAATGGAGGCCGGGAGTGGAGGCGCAGGCAGAGGGTATTAAGCCCGCATGGCCCCAGTGAGTCAAGGCTGTCCAGGCACTGGGACTCCAGTTGTCCTCAGCCCGGGTCTTACCCCCACACCACACCCCCCAGGGTGAAAACATCACCAATGCCCCCGAACTGCAGCCGAACGCCGTCACTTGGGGTATCTTCCCCGGGCGAGAGATCATCCAGCCCACCGTAGTGGATCCCATCAGCTTCATGTTCTGGAAGGTAAAGGAGCCGGGAGCAAGCTTGCCCCGCCCACCTGGAAAACCCTGGGGAGGGATTGGGACCAAGTCCCTGTGCCGAAGGCCACACCCTGGGCCTGCTGGACCCAGCCTTCAGGGCATACCCGGCTCTGACTCACTCACCCGTGTCACTGCTGACGCAGGGTGTTTGCTTCTGGGCAGGGGTGGGAAGTGATACTGGCAGTGGGCCTTGTTCTATTCCGGGAAATGTCCTGTTGAGCAGAGCCCTTGGAGAGCCCTGTTAATCTTGCATCTGTGTGTGTGCGTGTGTGTGTGTGTGTGTGCGTGCGTGCGTGCGTGCGTGCGTGCGTGTGTGCGTTGCGGGGGGCGTGTGGTGTGTGTGTAGGACGAGGCCTTCGCCCTGTGGATTGAGCAGTGGGGCAAGCTGTATGAGGAGGAGTCTCCATCCCGCACGATCATCCAGTACATCCACGACAACTACTTCCTGGTCAACCTGGTGGACAATGACTTCCCACTGGACAACTGCCTGTGGCAGGTGCTGGAAGACGCACTTGAGCTTCTCAACAGGCCCACCCAGAATGAGAGAGAGACGGAGGCTCCGTGACCCTGTGTCCTGACGCCCTGCGCTGGAGCCACTCCTGTCCCACCTTCCTCCTCCACAATGCTACTTCTCTGGGAATCCCACTCTCCTTCATGTCTCCCCCACCCCTGGCCTCCACTCCCCCACCTGACGATGGCAGCTAGACTGGAGTGAGGCTTCCAGGCTCTGGCTGGACTTGAGTTGGCCCCACATGGGAACCTAGTACTCCCTGCTCTAGCCAGGAGTCTGTGCTCTTTTGCTGGGGAGCACTTCCGTCTTGCAGAGAACCACAGCGGGTGGCACCTCCTGAGAAGGCGAGGAGAGTGGTTGTTGCCAGCTAAGCCCTCGAACCAAGGCAGCCTCCAGAGCCAGCCTGGGACTCCCGGTGAACTTACACTTGGAGCCTGTGCAGTACAGGCAAAACACGCATGGGCGCCAGGCACTGGTGGCATCGTAGAAGAGATGTGGCAAAGTGCTGTACCCTTCCACCTCCTAGAGGTGGGCAGCTGGGCCCCACCTACTTGTGAGTGAAGGGACATACCACTGCCCTGCCTGCCCGCTTAGCCGTCCATGGCACCAGCCCCCTGGATGGGCATTGGGCTGACACCTACCATGCTGCTTTCTGGCACAGTTGTCTATTCTGAGCTTTGAGAGAAAAAGTACCCCTTAAGGGTTGACAGCAGCAGTCTGAACCCTTGTGCTTGGTGGGGGTCGTGGCCTTCCCCTTTTCCCTGGCTGTGGAGGCCTAAGGCTACCCCGTTCCCTGTCAAAAGCCAAGAGGAGATTCACCAGCACAGGGGCCGCAGACCTGCCTGGGGCTATGCAGCAGCCCAGCTTCCTGGCTTATTTTTCAGGTAGACCCTCGTCCTGCCAGCTGCCCTCCTCGTCCCCCCGTCCTGTCCCAGAGGTTATCTGCCTGGCACAGCTCCCCAGGAGTCACCTGCAAGCCCCATGGCCCGGGGGCAGTGACTGGCAGGTGCAGATGGACTGTTTCCCGTCCTGGATCCCAGCAGGCTGGGTGGGGTGGGGTGGCCCAGAGCAGCCTGATGGCCAAAGGGGTGGATGCAATTGTGGGACGTCCTCTTTACTCCCTTCCTGGCTCACTGGCTAGGGCAGAAGGGTGGCCGCTAGGAGAGACTGAGAGAAGCAGCTAGGACTGAGGAGTGGGTTTTATTGTCCTTCAGAGCTCTTCAAGCTGTCCCCTCTGTCATCACTCCCCAGATGTGTGGGGCATGGTTCCTTGCCTGGGAAAGCCGAGTTCAGTTCTGTTTTTTATTCTCTGGGAACACGTCACAGCTGCAGCTGGGCCCCATGCTCTGCCCCAAGCCCCCAACCCCGCGGGGCTCCGGCAGCTTCTGTCCACTCTCAGGGCCCTTAGGGCCTGGCTTGCTCCAGGATCTTGGGCTACTGGCAGCTCCTCTCCTTGGGCTCCTGGCTGCCAGGTGTTGGTGCCACTTCTTAAAGGCCTGGAACCAGGGAGGGGAGAAAATGCTATTGTTGTGGGCTCTCTCCAGGGTCTGTGCCGTGCCTGCTAGAGCAACACCTGTGCCCAGCTCCTTTTGTCCCCAGGGCCCCTCCCTCTGCCCCAAGCAGCCAGCCAGTCTTGCCCAGGCCAAATGCACAAGCTCAGAATAGATCCGATGGTGATCTGGGAAGCTGTACTCAGAGCAGAGCAAATGAGGGAGGGGGTGCTCAGGACCTAGGCCCTCCATGGGCTAGTCTGAGCGGCAGCCATACCTCATGCCACGCCTTCCCAAACTGAGGGACCGGGTGGGCCTGGCCTGAGCTGGGGCCACAAATCAAATCAAGAGCCCCAGCATCCAGCCTGTGTGTTCTGTAATGGAACTGACCCCCTCCCCTGAAAACAAAGGGGCCCTGGGGCTGGCAAGCAGGGAAACCTCAGATCCACGGTGCATAGCTGTGGCACAGGCTTCTGGAAGGCTGGCTGGGTGGAGTGCAGGGAAGAGGGTAGTACCTGGGAAAGGACCCAGCCATCTTCCTGCTGCTTTAACTGCTGAGCCACTCGCAGTCGCAGGATCCGCTGCCACCATGTCCGCCAGGCCGATCTCAGGTGCCACTCTCTGAGCTTTGGGGACAGTTGGCAGAGGCGGCCTCTTGCGCTCATGCTCCCCCGCAGTCGCCAGCCCTTCTGCCTTTCTCCCCCCACACCTCTGCGGCACCAGAGTGAAAGGGCTATGGCAAGGGGGTGTCATCTGAGTATTAACAATGCAGATTCCTGGGCCTGTCCCCCAAGGTTTTGGAGTCAGTAGGTCCAAGGGCCATACTTTTGAGAGGGGTTAGGGTTGAGTATGAGGTGAAATGGGAGATGGTCAGTATGGAGAGGGGCTGCGCCCACTCACCAGGGTCCGTGCCAGCTGTTCTGCCCCTTGGGCATCCACCCAGTGCTGCCATGCTGCTGCCAGGCACCTGGCCTGCTGGGAACCCCGCAGCCCATGAAGCAGTGCCTTAAGGCACCGGCGCTGCTGGTACTTCCTCCTGATGGCCAAGAGCATTGTGACCCTTCAGGGCCGGAAGGAGGGCAGAGCCATGGGCCTGGGCCTGCTTTTCCAGGATCCTACAAGAAAGAGCACTGGCCAGAGAGGGCCGAGCTCTAGCCATGGCTCAGGCGAGCCCCTCGGCCCCTGCCCCCATCCCTCGGACCCCCCAAACTGCACACACAGCTCCTCTCACCCCAGCCTCCTTTTATGGGCCTCGCTTTGGGCTTTGAGGGCCCTGGGCTCAGGGCTGGAGTGTCCTCTTGGTCCCTGGTCCCTCATCCACAGGGGCAGGCCTGGGACCCAGCTACTCTGTCCAGGCCACTGCGGCCAGAGCTGGAAGGCAGGGCAGAGGGAATGTTCTCCACACCCTGGAAAGGGGAGTTGAGTCAGAAAAGCTTAATGTGGGTCCAAGAAGGCAGCTGCACTTAGTGCCCGCCTAGGAGTTGAGTACAGTGAGGAGCGTGGAGGAAGGTGCTGAGCTCAGCCTTTTGCCCTGCCCCCCATCTCCCCAGGCCTCTAGCCGCTCTGGGCTGCTGCCCAGAGAGAAATCACAGGGGCGGGACAGGAACACAAAGTTTTCTCAGAACACCTGAAACATTCCTAAGAGGGAATGGATGGGGAGAATGGTCAGTACACATAACACCATGTCCCAAGGAGCTGATTTCCAGGCCCCTGAGGACTGGAGACCGCTTCACCCCTGCACTTCAGGCACTGTTTGTCCTCCGGGGCAAGGTCTCCTTACTCTGAGTCCAGGTCATTCCCCTTGGCTTCCTCTGTCCACCCAGGCTGCACTGCAGTGATGGCGCGGGCGGCACCAGTCCTGTGGCCTGTGTCCAGCAGCTGCGGGTCTGCAGGAACAACCAGAAAGGAGCACCTGAACCCCATGGGCTTGGACCTCCTGGGGCCCCACTGGGATTTCTTGGCTGGCAGGACACATCCCTGCTTCTTCCACCCATTCTCCCACGTGGCCGAAGACATTCCAACAGTGGGGTGGGCCCCTAGTAGCTACCCCTCAGTGCCTGGGAGCACAGCCCTGGGAGGTGGCTGTTTCTCTCCCCACTTAAAACTTGTCAAAGCTGAGTTACTTGTCTGAGGCCTCATACCTCGGAAGTGGTCTGACTCCAGAGCCCGAGCCCCCGGCTAGTACTCTCTACAGAGAGGGGCTCTCCAAAGGGGCTGCTGAGGCATGTGTGCCTGTGGCAGAAAAGAGGGGGCCCTGGAATTAAGCACCCTAGGTGCCATTCCCAGCGTTTAGTTTCTAGAGGCCTCGGATTCTCCATCAGTATATGGGATCCTTGTCTTGAATAGAAATGTAAAAGTACTCTGAGAAGCAATTGCCCTGTAGCTTATTTAGAAAGAAGAAACCCTGAGACCCTAGAACCTGCTGTTGCCATAGTCCCATATGTGTGAATTCTGCAACTAGCCAAGGCTAGTTCCTTTCAATTCCATTTAAAAAACAAAAACCGGGAGGCACGGTGGCTCATGGCGCAATGGGCCTGCCCAGCGGTTGGGGAGGCCAAGGCAGGCAGATCGCTTGAGCCCAGGAGTTCAAGACAAGCCCTGGCAACATAGTGAGACCCCATTTCTACAAAAAAAATAAAATTAGCCGGGTGTGTTGGCGCACGCCTGTAGTCTCAGCTACTCACGCGGCTGAGGTGGAAGGATCGTTTGAGCCCTGGAGGTTGAGGCTGCAGTGAGCTGTGATCGCACCACTGCATTCCGGCCTGGGCAACAGAGTGAGACACTGTCTGAAAACAAAAGACGACGACCGAAAAAAGTCACCTTAGCTTTTTCTCTTAGAACCTTCTCTAAAATGTATTCTTTGTGGCATTCTGAAATAAGATTCCTGATGATGCCTGTTGATCTTAGGGACACTACCTCACCTGTCAGTATCTTTGGGGCTATGTCCTTCAAGGACATGTCCCCAGACTGCTGTGCAGTGTCATTTTCTGTTTGGTTTTGTGGTGGCTTCTTCCCTCTTGCTAGGCCATCAACCTCTTATCACCATTTGTTGGTGTCAGAACTAACTGCTTCTGGTCTGGAGAGGGACTGACCAATGCCGTTGGGTAGAGAGAATTATGAAAGAGATTTTGGTATTTTTCTACTTTATATTTTCTGACTTTTCTGTAATGAGCATATTTCACTTTTCCAATAAGGAAAAAAAAAAAAAAACTTGACCTGGTGCAGTGGCTCACACCTGTAATCCCAGCACTTTGGGAAGTCGAGGTGGGAGGATCACTTGAATTCAGGAGTTCGAGACCAGCTTGGGCAATATGGTGAAACCCCATCTCTACTAAAAATACAAAAATTAGCCAGGTGTGGTGGCACACACCCGTAGTCCCAGCTACTCAGGAGGCTGAGGTGGGAGGATCGCTTGAACCTGGGAGGTGGAGGTTGCAGTGAGTTGAGATCACACCTCTGCTTCAGGCTGGACAATTGAACCAGACTCTGTCTCAAAAATAAAAAAACAAAAAAAAAATGCTACTGTTCCGTGTACCTATCCTGATCTTCAGCTGCACCGTGAGAAAGCATGCATTTCAGTGTCTCCCTAACAGGCTGTGACCTAACACGCTGGTCTTTGTGTCCAGACCTGCAGTGGGCTGGCACTCGAGAGGTGCTGGGTTCATCTTTGCTGATGGATTCAGAGTTGCTTGTCAGAGGCTGACTGAGAACCGGGGAGAGGTGGTGTGTACAAGGCTGCTGGGCCCCTGGGGAGGCATCCAGCCATGTTGCCGCCATGGGCCGGATCAAGCTGATTCTAAGGCGGGTGGTCCGAGGGTCATTTTTGGACCTCCCGTCCTGCCTAGGCTCCCCTCACCTGCTTCCAAGGGGCTGGGGCGTCCAGCAGCAGGCTCCCCCTGCTGGCCATCCAGGGCCAGAGCGTGAGGTCAGCCTGGGGCTTGGGGCGGACCTTGCCGGCCCCTGGGGCCTTGGCCCGCAGTCCAAGCCGCGCCCTGAGCTGCGCCATCTGCAGGAAGCGTCTGAGCCCAGCCTGCCGGAGCTGGGTGACGATGGCTCGTTGGACACCGCCGCAAGCCCCCGACTGCGTCGAGGCCTCTAGGACCCTGCGGGAGAGGAAGGAGTCTGCAGCCAGGGCCATCAGGGCCAGGACTCTCCGCAGGGAGCCCTTCCAGTGCCCTGCGGGAGGGGGCCCTCCAGGCCAAGCCCCAGCCACCTCCCACTCCCTCTTCTGGAGGGAGAGTCTGGGTAAACAGGATGGAGAGCGACCTGGAAGGAGAAAATCGCAGACAGGGACAAACATCCTGTTTAGGGGCAGAGAGGGAACAGTCCTGCCAGTGCCACTTTGCCTCCCCTTCCCTGGCGTTTATGGCGCTTGCTGAGTGGCTGGCTGTGCTGGTGACTGCCAGGCAGGACCATCAGAGACTTCCCCAAGGAGGGGACACACAGCAAGAGGTGGTGCCAGGATGTGGTCCAGGACGGGGTGACAGGGAGATGGCTAGGGCGGCCTCTCCCTGTCACCCCCAATCACCCTCGAGCCTTTGCCCTGCCACCCAGCCACGAATTACGCTCTACCCCTGCCAAAAACAGGCTCGAGGCCTGAGCTGGAAGCACAGAGTGGGGCTGCGCTTAGACCACGGCACTCACCAGGCTCGCAGCTTCCAGCAAGCATGGGCTTGGCTGACCTGGCCCCGACAGCTCGGCGCCCACAGTGCCCAGCACCGAGTCCAGCACCGAGTCCAGCACCGGGCTGCCTGGGCCCCAGCACTCTCTCCTTCCTGCTGCTGGGCCTCACGGTGCACGTCCGGGGCCACTGGCCATGCTGGGAAGGCCTGCGGGGCCCGGGCCTTCTTCGGCTGCCCATCTTCCTGGCCTCGCTGCCTGCAGATTCTCCAGTGGGCAAGGGAGGCCTGGGCCACACGCTGTTCCTGTGCCCCGGCTGCAGCTGCCTGGGCTTCCCGCCATGTGGCAAACACGGCCCCCAGTGCCCTTCTCCTCAGGTCATCCTGAAAGGCTTGACGCTGGGCCCGGAGCACCCCTGTGTCTCTTACAACCTCACACCAGGCCTGGAAGTAGCTGCAAAACAGACGCATGGGGCCAGGTGTGGTGGCTCATGCTTGTAATCCCAGCACTTTAGGAGGCCAAGGTGAGTGGATCACCTGAGGTCAGTTTGAGACCGGCCTGACCAACATGGTGAAACCCTGTCTCTACTAAAAATACAAAAATTAGCCATGTATGGCGATGGGCACCTGTAATCCCAGCTACTTGGGAATTTTAGAAGAATTGCTTGAACCCGGGAGGCAGAGGTTGCAGTGAGCCGAGATCGCGCCACTGCACTCCAGCCTGGGTGACAAGAGTGAAACTCCATCTCAAAAAAACAAAACAAACCAAAAACAGATGCATGGGAGGGCTTGTCTCGTTCTCAGAGTCAAAAGTCACATTTATTCAATGTTACACCAGCAAAGCTCCCACAAAACACTAAAGGACTAGGAACGGGTGAAAGCACTGGCTTTCCGTCTTGGAATCTCAGCCTCAGAGGGCAGGGCCTGCCTTGCAAAGGCATGGGAACCAGCAGTATGGGTTCAAGTCCCACACCAGCCACGTCCTGCCTCCCATCACATGCCCAGGTGGTTGGTGAGGGAGAGGAACACCATCTTCCACTCACTGAGAAGTCAAGAAAAAAAAACATTTACAGCCGGGTGCAGTGGCTCACGCCTGTAATCCTAGCACTTTGGGAGGCAGAGGAGGGGCAGATCACCTGAGGTTGGGAGTTCGAGACCAGCTTGATGAACATGGAGAAACCCCGTCTCTACTAAAAATACAAAATTAGCCGGGCGTGGTGCCACATGCCTGTAATCCCAGCTACTCAGGAGGCTGAGGCAGGAGAATTGCTTGAACCTGGGAGGCAGAGGCTGCGGTGAGCCGAGATCGCGCCATTGCACTCCAGCCTGGGCAACAAGAGCGAGACTCCATCTCAAAAAAAAACAACCCATCTACACCCTCAGATGCAAAAGCACAGACGTCAGCCATTCTGTAGCCAACAGTTCACTGCCTCTATGGGGACACTGAACATTCGCATTTGTACTGAACTGTGGGAGGAGCCATTCTGCGTCCCTCTGCTTGGTTTTACAATGTGCATTCATAAACTGTATACATGTTCCACCAGAACATCTTTACTTCAATGAAGATTGCACTGTCTTCTCTTAGCAACGGTGTACAGCAGACACCTCCTTGCTGTGACTCCTCACAATGGGCATTATGGTAGGTTTCTGAGGAGTGGATTTCTCCTTTTTTTTTTTTTTTTCAGATGGAGTCTTGCTTAGTCACCCAGGCTGGAGTGCAGTGGCACAATCTCGGCTCACCGCAACCTCCACCTCCTGGATTCAAGTGATTCTCCTGCCTGAGTGTCCTGAGTAGCTGAGACTACAGGCACCTGCCACCACGCCCAGCTATTTTTCATATTTTTAGTAGAGATGGGGTTTCACCATGTTGGCCAGGCTGGTCTTGAACTCCTGACCTCAAGTGATCCACCTGCCTCGGCCTCCCAAAGTGCTGGGATTATAGGCGTCAGCCACTGTTCCCAACTGATTTCTCCCATGTTAATCATATCCTCTAAAACCAAAGAACTGACTTGGCCAGGAGCTGGACTCCCAGGGCTTGTTGGGGCCACAGGTTAGGGTTGGGGTTTGCCACCACTCCCAAAATAGATAATAAGGTATCAGTGGTCATGGCCCTCTGTCTCCAGGCTAGGGTCTCCCTGCATGCCCCTTTTTCCCCAGGCCATAGGCCTCCTATCTGGGCCACCCTCTGAGCTTCCCACCCCCTGGGTGCTCTTCTTGCTATTCCTTGGGTGGGGAGGACCAACACCCTCCCACCCCCAGGCCCACCCACCTCTGCAGTAGCAGTTGCTCTGGCCGGGTCACTGTGCGTCTCTGACGAGCTGCTGCCTGCTGCCAGCTCCGAAACACAGCCCTCTGCAGGCCCTGGAGGTGGCCCTGCACCCACGTCTGGCACTTTTCATGCAGGAACTGCTGTCCTGGGGCCAGAGAGATGCTGAAGAGCCACTGGGTGCTCACCCCAGCCTCTCCCCATGGGTCTCTGTTTAGCCAGCCCTTCGCTCCCTACCAGGTGGGAACAGACAAGGCCGCCCTGACTGTCTGGGTTAAAAAGCCTCTATTACGCGTGTCCTGCTGGTGACCAGGCCAGCCCAGCTCATAGAGTTGTTTGGTTTGTTTTTGTTTGTTAATTTTGCCACAATGTTTTCGAATCTGGAGAATTCCGGTAAAAATCTAATTTTCTGTTTTTTTTTTTTTTTTTTTTTTTTGAGACGGCGTCTCACTCTGACGCCCAGGCTGGAGTGCAGTGGCCCAATCTCAGCTCACTGCAACCTCTGCCTCCCGAGTTCACGCCATTCTCCTGCCTCAGCCTCCCGAGTAGCTGGGACTACAGGCGCCCGCCACCTCGCCCAGCTAGTTTTTTGTATTTTTAGTAGAGATAGGGTTTCACCGTGTTAGCCAGGATGGTCTTGATCTCCTGACCTCGTGATCCGCCAGCCTCGGCCTCCCAAAGTGCTGGGATTACAGGCATGAGCCACTGCGCCCGGCCCAAAAATCTAATTTTCAATTTTTCTGTAAAAACTGGAAGTTCTGGAAACACTGGCTCAGTGTTCCTGCTGTGGAATGACTGGGCTGCGTAAGCAGCTGTCCCCAGCAGACAGGACATGACTTTCTAGAACAACCACAGCCCTGCCTGCCAGCATTAACGCGATGTGTTGGTGTAGTGGGCAGCCTCCAAGATAGCATCCTGTGTTCCTGTCCTGGGCAATGCCCCACCTTGAATACGGGCTGGGTTTATTAATTTGCTTCTAACAGACAGAATTTGGCAGAAGCAATGGGATGTCATTTCTGATATCAGGTTATAAAAAGATTGCTTGAGGCCAGGTGCGGTGGCTCACGCGTGTAATCCCAGCACTTTGGAAGGTGGAGGTGGGTTGATCACTTGAGGGCAGGAATTTGAGACCAGCCCGGTAACATGGTGAAACCCTGTCTCTACTGAAAATACAAAAATTAGCCAGGCATGGTGGCAGGCGCCTGTAATCCCACCTACTAGGGGAGCTGAGGCAGGAGAATTGCTTGAACCCAGGGGGCAGAGGTTGCAGTGAGCCCAGATCGCACCACTGCATGCATGGGCAACAGAGTGAGACCGTCTTGAAAAAAAAAAAAAAGAAAAGAAAGAAAGACTGGTTGGGCCATGCAACAGCTCTTTTTGCCCAGAGGCGGAGACCCAGACAGCAAGCCTGCCTTGGGACTATCCCTCCTCCCTTCACTGGTCACATTCCTTAGGGCTTCTAACACACTGCACCCTCAGCCAGCTCTGCAAATCCAGTCCTTCCCACTGCCCTATTTTGCTGAACCCTTCCCACACCTCAACTTCTCTCTCCATTGCTCTGCCTGCTGAGCCCTCCTTACCTCCTCCTGGGACCCTCTCTGACTAACTACCGGCCTCTAAGGGCACCATGACTCTGCCCACTTCTTCCCCAGCTCAGGGCTCAGACCAGTGACTCCTAAAGGCCAGGTAAGGATAAGGATGAATATTAAGGTGATGAGGTAGGGACTACATTATCCCCATTTTACAGATGTGTAAGCTGAGACTCAGAGAGGTTAAGTAGGTTGTTTAAAGTTCACACAACCAGGGTATGGAAGAGCAGGGATTCAAACTCAAGACTACAGAGTCCAAGCCCCCAGGTTCTGCTCAGCCACCCGACTCCTGGGTGTAGCCTGTGGGGATCTCATCACCAGACTTTGCTAGGGGATGGGAGGGTATGGGGGATGGTGAGACACTCTGCAGAGTCACTGTTCCTCTAGGAAATTTCACAGCTGAGGTCCATTCATTTACTCATACATAGCACAATGTATAAGAATTGGTCAGCCTGTTTTCTTTGAATCCAGCTAAGTCAGTGTCACAGCTCAGCGGACCTCTCTGATCAACTGCATTTGTTATCTATGGCTGTGTAACAAATTACCCAAGTACTTATTAGTTTTAAACCACAGATGTTTGTTATCTCACAGTTTCTATGGGTCAGGAGTCCAGATGTAGCTTAGCCTCTGCCTCAAGGCCTCCCATGAGGTTACAGTCAAGTTGTTGGCCAGGGCTGCAGTCTGGGTCTCAGACAGACCCTGGCCCTGCCCTCACCTGCAGTGCACCCAACCCAGTCTCCACTCACCCTGCCAAGAGGAGTGCCAGTGGCATAGGGCATCTCGTGCCAGTCGCCAGCCCCGCTCCTGGGCCCACCTCTCCACCAGTCGCAACTGCAGCAGCCGCCGACGCCACAGGCCCAGCACAGCCCTGCAGCTCCGATCCCAGGCCCAGTGGGAAGCCAGCTCTCTCCAGGCCCCTTGGGCTGTTGCCCAGCGGCTCCAGCTGAGGAAGATGCTGGGAAAGGGAGGGTCCACCCTGAGGATGGCACTGTCCCCCAAATCCCAGGCCAGCCCTGCCCCGCCCTCCTCTCTCTTCCTCTCTCCAGCAGTGGGGGGCTCTGGGTGACTCTTCTGTTTCCATTATGGGAGGGTGGGTTGCTGGGGACCGGAGGGGCCAAGCACCTCTCCGAGGGTCATGATGACTAGTGGGGGGGATAGGGTGGGACTCTAGACCCCCACTGCCAAGTCCTGTGCTTAACCACTAGCCATAAACATTGCTATGGACTGAGCACTCACAACGTGCCACACACGGCACTGGGGAATGTTTGTGCCCTGCCTCGCCACTGCCCCACTGGAGCGAGTACTATTAACCCCATTTTACAGATAGGCAAATAGAGGCACAGAGAAGTTATGCAACTTGCCCAAGATCACACAGCCAGTGAGGGGCAAAGCTGGGATTAGAACCCAGGGAGACCAACTCTTATGCATTGTGCTATAAATGAATGAACCTCGGCTGTGAAATCTCCAAGAGGAACAGTGACTCTGTAGAGTGCCTCACCGCTCCCTGACACCCTCTCAGTAGGACAGGGCAGGAAGACAGGAGGAACTGAAGGCCCCTGAGATGCAGACCCCAAGGGGCTGCTTCTGTGAAGGCCAAGGGTGGATGGGAGAAGGGGCTGGGAAACAGTAAGTCCATAGAGTGGCAGGCGGATGGGGAGGGGTCCCTACCGCCTCTGGAGGGTATGCTGGTACCACCTGGCTGTGCCCTGGAACTGCCAGGCCCGTGCCCGCCAGAGCCGAAAGCACTGCCCCTGCTGCCACTGCCCAGCTGCCCACAGAAGGCTCCCCTGGAGAGTCTCCGGGAGGGCGGGGGCCCTGGGAACCTGGGAAAGGAGGTGTGGAGTCCTGGGTCCCCCGCCCTGTCCCCTTCCCACAATCTCCACCCACCCACCCCTACCTGCCCCAGCCCCTCCCCACCCACCTACCTCTCACCTTCTCCAGAGAGCCTTGGGATGTGCTGCTGCCCATTGGCTCCGGAGCCGAGGGGGCCTTGGTGCAGCTTGATGTGGCATCTGGGCCCAATGCCCTCACGTGCCACCATCTCAGGCTGCGCTGCAGCATCCGCTGCTGCAGGCCCTGGAGGAAGGAGCTAGAGAAGGGGCAGGTGAGTGCCCAGCCCAGCCTCACCCCCAGGCTGAGCAGGGTGGCCAAGCAAGGGCTACCCCACCCCAGCCGCTGTGAAAGAGCTGGGCTAGAAGGGTGCTCACCACAGGCCAGACACTGGGCTAGCATTCCACGCTGCCGCCCCCCACAGCGGCTGCATGCTGGGATCGCTGGGGTCTTCAAGAGATGCTGATGCCCACCAGGGTCCCATCCCTGGATTCTGCCTTAATGGTCAGGGTACAGCCTGGGCTTCCAGACTTTTCTAGAGTTCTCTGAGTGACCTCAGTGAGCAGCTGAGACTGGGCTGACTGGGCTAATGCTTTTTTTTTTTTAGACAGGGTCTGACTCTGTGGCCCAGGCTTTACTGCAACCCCTGCCTCCTGGGCTCAAGCGATCCTCCCGCCTCAGCCTCCCGAGTAGCTGGGATTACAGGTGCGTGCCACCACGTCTGGCTAATAGAGCTAATGCTCCACCTGCATTACTGGCTGGCCTCATCATGCTCCCGGGGCGGGCTGGGAGCCCACGCAGCTGATCAGAGATGGAGCTGAGCCCCAGGCCCAGGGACCCCAGATGCCAGGGCCCACCCCCACAACCACACCAGTACTTCTGCCTCCACTCACTTACAAAAATAAGAAAGCTGAGCCTGGGGGAAAGTCATTTCCCCAAACTCCGGATAGCAGTAGACCTGGGATTCATCTAGGCCCTGGAGGGTGCCCCAGGAGAGCTGCCAGGAGATATCAACTGTGCCCTGAGGTCCAAAGGCCAGAGGATGGGCTGGAGAGGGAGGGCCTGGGGGCTGTGGGGCAGGCATGTGAGTAATGAGTAGTACCCTCACATTCTGAAAGGTCATGGTGAATTGAATTCTCCTGGACTTGCAGGGGTACACTGAAAGAGGCTGAGGGTCCAAGTGGACCATGTGGGTATGTGGCTTTCAAGGACAGAATTCTTTTTTTTTTTTTTTTCTTTTGAGACAGAGTCTTACTCTGTCACCTGGCTAGAGTGCAATGGCATGATCTTGGCTCACTGCAATCTCTGCCTCCTGGGTTCAAGTCATTCTTCTGTCTTAGCCTCCCAAGTAGCTGGGATTACAGGTGCTTGCCACCACGCCTGGCTAACTTTTGTATTTTTAGTAGAGACGGGGTTTCACCATGTTGACCAGGCTGGTCTCGAACTCCTGACCTCAGGTGATCCACTGGGCTTGGCCTCTTAAAGTGCTGGGATTACAGGCGTGAGCCACCGCGCCCAGCCAAGGACAGAATTCTTAACCCGGCAACTGCTGGCCTCCATTCCTCCTGACATCCCCTCGGGGAAGCTGGCTGCTCCTGATTGCCACCCTCCCCTCACCCACAGCCTTTGTCTGGGCTCTGAACTCCAGCAGTGACCATCTTGTGTGGGGGCAGCACCAAGGTCTCACCACAGGACCTTCTTGCTCCTGACTCCCACTGGGATTTAGAGCAACCTGCTCTGGCCCTCTGAGCCTGACTTTCTCTAGTTGTGTAATGAGGCCGATGGGGGAGGAGATAAGAGCTTGATCCCTGGCTCCTGCCCTTGTTCCTTTACAGTATTTACTCCGTGCCTGCAACATGCCAGGCACCTGCAGGGAGCTGGGAGCCAGCAACGACAGCCAGACAGACATGGTCCCTGCCACCAGGGGACTTGCACTTGGCAGGGAGACGGACATTCACTAGGGTTCTGGCCACCCCTGTAGAGCTCTATGTCTGTGTCTCTGGCAGCCCCCTGGCCCCCAGTGGACCTCTGCTCAACCATTGTTCCAGTGTCCCTAGGCCACCTCCCAGGGCCTGACATCGGCTGGGCACCACAGTGTGCCAGGGCCTGTGCAGGGCCACGGGGAAGAGTGGGATGCAGTTACTGCCCTATGGGACACTCCTCCTGTATTCCTCCTGGTGCTGAGCACTGCTCATGTGCCCATACCACAGTCCCCAGGCCCAACCCCAGGTCACAAGCTTGGGGACACCTACTTGGCCCACTGGCACTGGAAAAGCCGCGTCTTCCACAGCAGCAGCGCCCGGCAGAGGGCCAGTGTCCGGCAAGCATCCTGCAGAGAGCCCCGGCCTTGCTCCTGCAGCCCTTGGGCCTGGCCCACTGTACCCAGGCCACAGGCTGCAGGGCCTGCAGTGTGGAGAGCCTCACGTCCTGAAAAACCATCAAGAGGCCAGTCAGCTGCCCCCTCACTGACCTCACTCTGCCCACAGCCATTGATAGCTGCTGCCTCAGGCCCCTCTTGGGAGCTCTCGTCTCTTGTCCCCTCCCAGCGCTTCCAAGCCCTCCCCTCCAGGTGGCCTCAAAGATCCCATCTTCCCCAGTTAAGTGCTTTTTTTTTTTTTTGAGACAGAGTTTTGCTCTTGTTGCCCAGGCTAGAGTGCAATGGCGTGATCTCAGCTCACTGTAACCTCCGCCTTCTGGGTTCAAGCGATCCTTGTGCCTCAGCCTCCCGAGTAGCTAGAATTACAGGTGTGCTACCACACTTGGCTAAGTTTTGTATTTTTAGTAGACACAGGGTTTCACCAGGTTGGCCAGGCTGGTCTCAAACTCGTGACCTCGGGTGATCCACTCTCCTCGGCTTCCCAAAGTGCTGGGATTATAGACGCGAGCCATTACACTGGGCTCCCAGTTAAGTTTTGGGGTAGAGATTAGGGCTGTGTGTCCCCCATCACACCAGGAGCTTCCCAAGAGCGGGTCCTACATCCCTTCCGGGCGGGATCTGGGATAACCAGCACCGAGGGAGCCTGCAGTGGGAGAAGCAGAACCAAGTGTCTCACCCACAGCAGCTCGCGATGGGACATAGGGATGTGGCTCAGCTGGGGCCTGCCCACTTTGGGACCCCTCCTGCCCCCTCCCAGGACTACACGCTGCCTTCCTAGAAAGCCCCAGTTCTACCACCTCCCACAAGAATTCACATATTCAACTAGGGCCCACTGAAGAAGGGGATTAAGTGACATGGTTTGCTGGGGCAGAAGCCAACACTAGCTCACCTGCTTTCTGCCGGCAGAGGGACAGCTGGGTCACCTTTGCCTCATCTGAGTCCCGGAGCTGTTTCATCCGCACCCACTGTTCCAGGCATTTCCTCAGGGTCCCCGTCCGGCGGTCAGCCAGGTGGTCTCGGTACCGGGACCCTCTTTGCACCAACTGCTGCCAGGCCCCAAAGCACCTGGGAGAACAGAGGGAAAATACCCATGTCAATTGCAAGGTCTGATGACTGCGGTTCCAGCTGCCTACCTTTGCCAGACACACTACCCAGGCCTTGGGCAAGCCGCTTCATTGCTCTGAGCCTCCATATTTTGTTGTTGTTGCTGTTGTTGCGGTTGTTGTTTGTAGACAGAGTTCCGCTCTTTTGCCTAGGCTGAAGTGCAATGGTGTGATCTCTGGTCACTGCAACCTCTGTCTCCTGGGTTCAAGCGATTCTCCTGCATCAGCCTCCAGAGTAGCTGGGATTACAAGCATGCACCACCATGTCCGGCTAATTTTTTTTGTGTGTGTGTGTGTGTTTTGTATTTTTAGTAGAGGTGGGGTTTCTCTGTGTTGGCCAGGCTGGTCTCGAACTCCTGACCTCAAGTGATCCAGGCGCCTTGGCCTCCCAAAGTGCTAGAATTACAGGCTTGAGCCACCGTGCCCGGCCAAGTCTCTGTTTTCTCATCTGTAAAACAGGGCTGCTTTGAAGATGCATCGCACGTCACCTGCTCAGGCCATGACACTGTCACCTCTGGCAGCGCGGTGGCCTCAGCAGCCTCTGACCTGGCCTCCCTGCATCCACCTCAGCCTCCTCCAGTCATTTCCTATTCCGTAACCCAGTGGTGTTTTTCCAATCTCAAATCAAATCATCATAGTCGCCTGCTAATCCTCCAGTGGTAGCCTCCTTGCTCTACCATCAAATTTCAACCCCTCCCCATGGCCAACAAGGCCCCCACAGATTTTTCCAATCTCATCTTCAACTACCCTCAGC